CAAAGCTGAACAGTGACACAGACGGGCGCGATGCTGAGCCGAGTTTGGCGCTGGTCTCAAAAGCAAAGCACACTTCTCTGTTTTTCTCTTCCTCCTCCTCGGCGTTTACATGATCTGTGACGTCGGCCCATACATGAGTAGGCAGGAAAAAGGGGTAACTTTCAAATGAAATCAGAAATCGAATCAGTCGGCCATTGGACTTCATGAATATCAATGTAATTCGAGGCCTAATTTGCAATTCTCAAAACCTTTTGCTTCATAGGCAGTGCTATGTTGTGTGCCTTTGTCAATCACCACGGACAGGTAGACAGCAGCTTTCTGTGGACGTGGGCTGAGAAATTGGTGGTGTTCTCTTACAGATACCCTCTGCAGTACTAGATGCTAAGTTAACTAGAAACGGGTGCATTAAAGAAATTGGCATCGTTGTGTGGTGTCCCGAAATCATTCAGTATTTATTACCCAGCTCATTTAATTTGTAGTGGGCAGTTTGCCCCCCTGAGGGAAATGAAACGTAAAGCCCAATTATCAAAAAATTATCAAAAAGCACATGGCGTGTACATTCAGCCATTTCTTTTGCATGTTTTTGGTCATTATATGATGGGATGGCAGGTTCATTCAGGAGGGCTGCTTTGTCTGAACTACATTTCCCAGAAAACTGTGGGGGAATGACCTGCCACCTCAGTGACCTGACCAATGGGTGAAAACAGGCTTGCAGCTGTTGGTCACTGCCTGATGTCTGAGAAATGCAGGTGTTCTGTTATATGCCTGCACCAGAGGGAGACAAGGAAGGAGTCATTCAGAGGATGTTGTTGGCCTGTTGGATGGGCACCTTTTCTGGACTGATCCCAGGATATTAATATCTATTCCTTGATGTGGTTATCGAGATTGTACAAAATATTCTAAATGAGATCTTAGTGGTGCATTATACAATTTCAACATAACGTAACATACCTTTATTGAAATTATTTGTTTTTATATTCTAGCATTCTGGTTTCCTTAATTGTGTGCTTTTAACTATATATTCTAACATTCTGGTTTCCTTTTTTATTGCTTATCTGGAGGATGTAAATAGTGTGTCAGTCTAAACATCTACACCTTTTTCATGGGTAGCCTCTTCTAGCTCAGTGTTCCCATTTTGTGTTTGTAGTGTGTTTTTGCTACCTGCATGTAAAACCCTTAATGTGCCTACATTAAACATGATTTACCAGGTTTTACATTTTATCTAAATCTTCTTGAATTTAATTTTCAGCTTATATAGTGTTTGCTAATCCTCCTCATTTGATACCATACGCAAACTTGACCAGTTTGCTCACTCTACCATAATGTTGATCATTGATATAAATTAGGAAGAGCAGAGTTGCACACTAACCTCTAATGGTTTTTGATCAAGACAAACTACTTGTCTTTAAAGGACAAGAAAGGTAAATTACAATAACTGTCGTGTGGCAACCACATTCTTACCTTTTACCAAGCACAAGGTGATCTTCACCTGGCTGCTGGTTCTCCATCCAAGCACCGAGACAAAATTAAAAGGACTGGAATGGAGGTACTGAGACTGAAGTAAAAAGGAAGTCATTTTGGGTTTTTTTCTTGTCAGTCATGACAATTCTAAAAATAAACTACTGAAGCATAACTTTCTATGACTACAGTAATGTGACAATTCTTTTTACTTGATTTGACTGCCTTCTGCCTTCTGCTCATTTTGTCTTGTATCCGGGGATTAAGCCTTTTTTAAAATCAGGAGTTAAAATCAGTAGTAAAAAGTAAAAGTTAGTGTAGTGCAGTGACCTTTACTCCAATAAATTTAATTTACCCTTTTGTTTCACAGTACCATAAGATGTGTTTTGAGTTTAGTATTAACCTAATCGTTTTAATGTGATAGCTATTGTTATACTGAACCTCTTGGGTAGCTGTTGATTCAGAAGGACAGGACATTTAATTTTGTCTGAAGGTTACATCTGTGTAATAAAAGTGTCACACCAGCAGTAAAGAACAGTGCTCGGTTTGTGTCGTTCAGTTAGAAGATTTAAAGAGTAAGAGGTGGTCTTCAGACTTAGAGTTAGTGAAATCGCCTACTAAATCTTAAATGGATTGTATTTTCAATATGTGTGCATTATTTAGTATTATTAAGTTTAATCTTTTTCACAGACCAGATTTTTACGTTACAGGCTCACAAAAATCAGAAATGTAGAGGATCATAAGATTGTGTCAATAAGCCTATCTGAACTCCAAGACTTCAAGAGGAAAGAAGATATCCTTTTCTTTCATGCTGTGATTCTTACTTCTCTAGTTAAAGATTTTAAATGAGACCAAGGTTTGCACTTTAACTAGCATGATAAATTTAATTTTCATGCAGAAGCACTTTTGTATTTCACTATCTGAAAAGGATCTTAAAAAAATAAAAGCTCCATCCATTAGTTTTATCTCCCTTGGATACCCTTCGGGCTTCATTAATGAGCGTGCATTGTTCCACATGAGACATTTTTATGACATTTTCACCTGTCTCTTGAAGCGGAAATGATCTTTTCTTTCACAAATTTTTCTTTTGAGACTTATATATATAAAGTAGAATTTTAAATACAATTTTCAGAATTGTGACATCTGAAAAAACAACTGGCTCATGCCACATTCTTTGCAACCAGTTAGGCCTAAACCAAGGCTTAGGTGACAGGAGCAAACACCTATTTGAGTCCTGTCAGTTGTAGAAAGTAACTCAGCTTCTTGGGTCAATGATTAGATTGGTCTTGATGTTATCTCCTTTAACCAGGTCTTGGATTACACCACTACCTTTCAGGTTACTCTGGGTAATTGTTAATCTCACTGTCACTGCGAAAAGTGCGGTAAAGCACAGGCATAGTGGATCGCAACTCCCAGACAGGCAGAAAAAAAAATGAGTTTCCACTCCATAAATTCAGTTTGATGCATGAAGTAACAGTGTTATAAACTATTAGTTATAAAGGTGTTGTTTTTAAGTACTAAATTGTAAATCGGTATAGATCTTTGTATGCATTACACTTTTCTCAGATCCTGTTGAATTTAGTATGAAACAAGAGACATGGATTGTAATATGTAAAATGTAATATGTAATCAACAAAGAGAGAAGATTCTGCAGCAGGGCCCCTTTCAGTACAGCCAGTGTAGGACTGGTGACCCCAGCGACTTCTGTATTCTGTGTGCCCTCTGCCCAGGCCGTGGCTCTTGGACTGCTGCTAGGCTCTAGAACTGTCTCCTACATGGGAATCTGGAGAGCATTGCCCTCCGTACAAAACAGCTGAAAACAAGAGCCGACAAGCCGAGTCCGAATCAAGTGTGTCTTGCAGAACATCGCTGGGGGGAAAAGAGATTCTGGTGTCTGACAGTGACGCTGATCTGTGATATTTGTAAACTGCTTCGGAACTGAATGCTAGCACTACACAAGATCTTCCTCTGTGTGGCACTACAGAAAGACATACCGGTGGCTCATTTTCATTTTCGTGCACAGCAGAGCTTTAAGCCAGAAGAAACACGTGGAGAGTCAAATAATGTTTTTGCGAATGAGACTTTGTTGATCTCCATGAGCTGTTCTTTGCTGTTCAAGTTTACTTTTGCTAATGATTAATTTTCTTTACAATTAAAAAGCTTTTAGTTTTAGAATATCTACGGTAGATAGATGGTCATGAGTATACAAAAAACAAATATTCCCATACCAAAATAAAAAAATAAATAAAATGAAAGTGCCAGAGAACGTCCTGGTACATTTTTTTACCAAGACATTTTGCATTTAAAACAAGACTTATTATAATCATACATACAGTCCATCCATCCATTTTCTAACCACTTCATCCGAGCATCGGCACAAGTCAGAACACCCCCTGGAAGAGTCCGTTGCAGGGCACTCATAAACACAGGCACACACACTCACACAGGGTCAGCTTTCCCAGAAGGCAGCCAACCTACCAGCATGGCTTTGTACTGTGGGAGGAAACGGGAGCACCCAGAGGGAACACGTGCGAACACAGGGAGAGAAAATACCAGCCCCACGCAGACAGCACTCCGGGTCCGGAACCGCTTATACTGTAGGACTCAGTTTGAGCTCATGCAAATTAACATCATGGCATTTGCACTCATGTTTCTCATAAAGCATTGTAAGGGAATTATTTTTTTGCTAAAAGGAAGCATTGAGAATGAGAGTGGGAGCAAGGTCTTTACACAGAGGGTTGTGGGAGTATGGAAGAAGCTGCCCAGCCATATCCTGGCCTGGGACGAAGGGGCAAGACCCTCCGATTAAAGGGCCTCCTGTCACATCACAGAACAGTGGTAATAAGCAGGAATAGTCTTGGTTGCCTACTCTTTTTGTAGCCTACTGACAAGAAACTCTGTTGTAACAATCTAAAAGGGTTAGAGAATAACAGGTCGTGCATCATCGGGATTATTTTGTCATAATTGAAAAGCTCTATAGTGGTTTAGTTGCATCGGTTGTTACATTCCATGTCGCAGCACAGCAAAAAGCCCAAACTGATTTGGACTCTAAAAATGAATAACCTGTTACACTTAGAGATGACAGCTTAAGAGCCATGCTAATGCTTTCATGATCTGGTCCCACGGGCCTTTTCAAGGGGAACTAATTTCAGCATCCATACAAGCGTATTTGTTCTTCCGTCTGTTTGTACGGCAAGTCATTTCACAGGCTCTCACGAGTGAGGCTCTTATTCCACAGGTGGCTGGTTTGTCAAATGCAACAGATTAACACAGGAGCATTAACTGTTTTAAATGCATTTATGCAGTAAGTGAAAACAGGCAAGAGGTTTTCTGTTCACTTGTTTGAGGCATTTTGGAAATGAAATTACTTCACAGAAAAAAAAATATTTTGAACGTTTCAGTGTTTTCTTGAAGCGCCCGGAAGTGTGAGTATTCCCGTGGCGTGCCCTCTGAGCGTCGTCTCGGCTGTGACCGCGCAGGGCGTCGCGCCGGAGTGTCTGCAGAACATGTCCAATAAGAGTTTCTCTGTGCTTCCCTTGCAGTGCTCCCGGAGCAGCCCAGGAAAGGGAGGAACATCTGCCTGACCTCACATCAGCTGAGGCTTCTCGCACAGCTCACGGAAACTCTGCTGTGCATAGAGAAGAGGACAGAGGAGCTGACTGCTGACATCTCTCCTCTTAACTGTGCAGGAGAGGCTCCTGGCAGTGAGAGAGGTACAGCGTGCAGTCCGTTCCTTATTTCTCAAATGGATGTGGAACACTTAAGGAGGCTGGAAAGGCTGTTTTAGAACCACTGGAAGCAAAGCATTCAAGATACAAATATTTATTTTAGCTAATGTTAGTTAAATCTATAAAGATATTTGATCTAAATGAGCTAATTTAGTTAATGTTACCCTTTTTGTTCTCAGTTCTGGATAATTGATGAATCAATGTCCGTAGGTCACGCCGATACTACAGGCTCTGCTGATTCTGTTTTCTGGAATAAATAGATTTTATCTAAACTTTACCACGCAAATACACTAGTAGTATTAAAGAAGGGACAAGGTCACGTTAAGGCTAATTATAATGTTATTATAATATATTGGCCTCTTTAGGTGGTTTATAATGACCTCATCCCGTCTTGTACACTTATCAGAAATATTGTGTAGGGAAACCTCTCGAGATTGTAGGGATTTTCTTCCCCAGTTTCAAGCTGACCCCCTCAGTGCCACCCTTGTCCGGCCCACTACTCCTGCCAAGGCAATTGAACTTATCACAGCAGTTCTTGCTTGCATTGACTATATGTTATATGGACATTTTGTATGAATAACAGAGACTAACGTTAAGCAAAGTAGAGAAGCCTATCAACCTAAAATTAAGTGTGTACTGCTGACACCTGTACCTGACGTTGACGGTTTATTTACCTAGACTTAACCCCACCAAAGCAGAGCAATGAGTACAGCAACAATAGGGAACTTATCATACCTCATCACACCGTACACATCTTACACACGTGAAATCCTTTTATCCAAACGTATTTGTTGCATATAAAAACTAGGCTGCTAATGTTCTCTATATAATATAATAATAACATGAAGATGAGTTTTGTGCATTTAATATAGCGCTTCTCAGGGGTTCCAAAGTGCTGTACATACAGGAAGGACCCACTGTAACCCCCCTTACGGCAGCCATTCTGCCCCAGGGAGGTCCGATTGCACAGGCTCAGAGGATTAAGCCAGGACCCCAGGTTACCACCAATACCCTACCTAACAGAGCTCTGGGCTTTTTAATGACCAGGTCAAGGCCTTGATTTCACATCCCGTCTGAAGAACAGCATCTTTACAACACAGTGTCCCTCCCTGCACACAGATTACACCAGTCTAGCAGCTACAGTATGTTCCAGAAACCTTGCCTTTTTAAAGCTCTTCGTGACAGATACCGGAGGTCTCCAGTCAGTGTTGAAGCATTTTTGCAAAAATGTGGCGTGCCCTGCAGTTATGACTTTATGGTAATTAAACAAGTGAGTTCTCAGAGTCCTTGCCGCTTAGCTTGCTTTAGTATTCTGCCGGGCTGGAGAAGTTAAAATTAAAGCTTTTGGTGCATGTAGTCATTTATGTAAAGGTTACATTAAAAACAAGACATGCAGAAATGCTTGATTTACAGAGGAGTAAACAGCCTTTAAAGGGCAGTTATCCAAATCATTAATTCAGGCAATCAAATTACTTAATTACCAGAAATTCATCAGATGGGCTTAAAGGTCAGAAAGTAAAGCATTTGCCTTGATTTTTCCCTGAAGTTTGACTCGTGCGCATGTCGGTACTGTAAATTGACTTGCCTTGGGTAACACCGAGAGAGTTCCTCAGCAGCTGCTTGTGACTGAACACTTAAAATACAAACCACCACACAGGCTCTGCAGCGCTGTGCTGTGCTCACAGGTGTTGCTGCTGCATTCATTTAAAGGTTTTGTATTCGATCAGTCCAGTCTCACGGATTTCGTGTTTGAAGACCGACTGTACAGTGCCTTCAGAAAGTATTCATTCATGAGTGAGAAACTGCTGCAAAGGTGGTTTTATACCAGAGAAGAGTTTAGCTAGTACACCAAAGATAGCACACTTTAAGAACTCTGTCATGTGAATCATATTTTGTGAAATTACAGTTTCTACAAAACATAAATACCACTGATGAGATTTTCAGCAAAATAAAGGTGAAAGTTCACCCATGTGAAATCCACATAGGCTTGGATTAAAGCCGAACCTCTTTAAGATCCTCTTGTTTTGCTGTGAGACTTGTTTGTGGTGTGCTAATGAGGGTGTTTGAAACAGGCATAATGTGTGGTCTTGTTGGTCTGTACAGATATGAGGAAGACTAGCGAGGAGCTGGACACAGCTGCTGCAGAGGGCAGCAAGCCCCACTGTGACCAGCTTCTCCAGGCCAGTGAGGTAAGAAGCAAGGGCCGTCTTTTATTTCATTTCTGGATAATAAGATTTTATTTTATGTTCAAAGCGATGTGTGGGTCTTCAAAAAGCTTGACGACTCCTTCAGATTCGGGAGTAGAATAAAAAGGACAGGGGCTTTGGGTCTCAGCTGGATGCTAAAAATGAATTAATTTATTTAGAGAGAATAGGAAATACTTCTTTACACAAAGAAATGTGGGTGTGTGGAACAGCTTCTCGGCCAGATGGTTAGTTCTTAAACTGCCAAGCCAGCAGGATTGGCTGATTGGCCTCCTCTCATGCGCAACCTTTCCTATATTCTAATATTCTAAATGGCAAATTCTGCATGACCAATTTTATTTCCTATTACATCGCAGCCCTAATGTATATGTGTATTCCCATAGTTCTATTGACTCTGTTGACATGTGAAACTGTGTTCTGGAGTGGGGCTCTGTGATGGCCTACAGACTGGGGCGAGCGGCGGAGCCCCAGAGTTTCCTTGAGCCCAGAGCTGAGCCGGGTGGTTCTCCCTGCAGCCCGCTGGGCTGCGGTTTGACTGGCGGTCAGCGCTGAAGGAGCTGGCGGCGCCCGTGGCCCACGGCGTGAAGGTGGTCCTGGAGGAGCTGTGCTCCCACAGCCTGCAGCAGGAGGAGGGCGGGCGCCGCGGGCTCATGGCTGAGTGGGACGTGCCGCAGGAGCGGGCGGCCCTCCTGTGCAGCCGGGAGGAAGAACCTCCAAAGAAGATCGCCAAGGCAAGTCCTGCCTCCCCTCCGCCTCCTTTATCTTACTCTAGACCTTATCTGTTCTGGTTTATTCTGTTGTTGTCGCGCGATCTGTGCAGCAATGTTTTTATGTGCATTTTTTGTATATCTTCAGTGTCCTTTGAGGAGTATCAATCTTTGTGATGCGTGTTTGGTAAAAAAGAAAATTATACTTGAAAAGGGCAAGCACCCCGTCCCGCGAGTCGGCACCGTGCATGGGGGTGGTCTTCGGTGACCCCCGCCTCTTCTTCGTTGCCGAGAAGTTACCAAGCCGAGCACCGGCGAGGTCAAGCGCCGCTGAGGGAAATCACTGCAGAGCACACAGAGGCCCACTAGCCTATCCAGGCAGTCGGATGGGGAATTCTCAGATTTGGGCATTCTAATAATAATAATAATAATAATAAACTTTATATTATATAGCATCTTTAAAGGTGGCTTCTCAAAGCTCTTTACAGGATGACAACAACAATAAATAAGAAGAATACACAAGATAAGACACAATTACAATATACAGAGGAGATGGTGGATGGTGGTACTAGGAAGAGCAGAGGGGTGAAGAATGGAACAGTTCAGTAAATGCTTTTCTGAAGAAGGTTTTGAGTCTGAATTTGAAGGAGTTTAGAGAAGGTGACTCTCTGATATCCTTGGGGAGAGAGTTCCAGAGCTTGGGGGCATAACAGGAGAAGGCCCTGTCACCCATACAATGTAGACGGGCTTGGGGGAGAGTAAGGAGACCAGAATTAGAAGAGCGAAGGTTGCGAGGTGGGGAGTAGGGCGATAATAGTTCAGACAGGTACTGAGGTGCCAAGCCATGCAGAGCCTTGTAGGTGAGCATGAGGATTTTAAAGTCTACGTGGAATTTGACCGGAAGCCAGTGCAAGGACTCCAGGATAGGAGTAATGTGAACACTTGCATTGTTGCTGTTTTCTTTTAGTGGGGGCCTTTTCTGGGAGGCTTATTTTAGAACAACAATCCTCCTTGTGATCACCATCTCCTCATACCCTAGCTCCCATAGTTGGCTCGCAAATTGTGATATCAATGGTCATATTGTAAAGAATAATTCTGATAGAATTATTTATAATATCTGAATCACTGCTTTATTTTATGACCACCTAATAATGTGTGACAGTGTGCTTAGGTACATTTTCATGGGACACTTTTTTTCTTGCTGTTGTATTAGCAAGGAGGAATGTTTGCCCTAGGCCACTCAGACAGAAATAGAGCCTTTTTTTTTCCCCACACAGTTACTAACTAAAAAAGTAATCAGAGGAGGAACTTTGCTGCACTTTCAGCATCTGTGCTGTCACCTGCATGTAAGATGGCTGTAAAGAAATACAAGGAAAGAAAAAAAAAGCACTCTTCCACTGGAGGTTTTTGCAGACTGCACCCACACGGCCTGACCTATTTATTTATTTACTGTTTTATTAATGGGTTTCTCTGTCAGTGTTGCTCGTCCCCCGATGCTGCCAACCTCAGCTCTGCGCTTAGTGCGTAATGATAAGGCAGCGCGGCGCGCGGGAGGCTGGCGCTGGCGGAGGGAGCGGGCAGTCCATCAAGCTGCCAAGGTGATTACCTGCCTGAGAGGCCCGCGCCCGCGCCAGGCGAGGCCGGCCGGCCCCCGGGGGCCTCCGCGAGGAGGAGAGATCCACATATCACAGGCGGCTGCTGGACGGGCTGAGCAGCCTGTTGCAGCAGAGGGCTTCGTCTCTGAAGGGCCCGTGCGCTGCAGGAACTGGGCCAAGGCGAGGCCGTCTCCGTCAGCGGGGCTGAAAGGAAATGGTGCCTTCATTTAACAATCAACAGGAATGGACGATTCTTTCCTGTACTACACTCTTCTGGAATATTTTAAACATGTAAATATAAATCCAACAACAGCCGAACCACTCATAGGTTACCCTCTCCTATTTACAGCTTTCTCTCATTTTTGTGGAAGATGGTTGGCCATTTGGTCTCCGCTTTACCCCGATTCGGGGTTTCATGAAATATTGATTGACTTCAAGAAATGATACGAGGCTAAAAAAAAATATAAGCTCGTATATGGTCATCTCCCCAGTTTAGGTGTATTAATCAATGAATGGTGCACGTTTCAAGTCTTGCGCGACGATGAAAGGGAAGAATATATCTTTCTTTTGAATCCCTCCGTTAGTCTTAACTGAAGCCTTTAAGTTTAGACCTAACTCTAACCAGAGCTGTAACCCTAAATCTAAGTTTAAATAAAACTGTGACACTTGTAAATGAGAAAAATAGGGTTAGAGTGAAGGATAGGGTTGATTTTGGGGATGGGATTATGTTTAGGTGCTGTCTGATTTATTAAATATAGATCCCATGCAACATGCAGTCCTGCATATTCCCTAGAAAATCCATAGTCATGTTATTATGATGTTATTATGATAACATGATCATGTTATTGTTATTTGAGTGGTGATTGCACTGTCTTGTTGGAAAACTGTGAGGCAGGAGAACGTCATCGTTTTAGCAATGTGAAAGCATAAATAAAGTAAGGAATCCGAATGAGGAGACGGCAACAATGTTTTCTCATCACCCAGATTGCTGTGTGTAAAACTGAGCAGTTCTGTCTGCGGGGTGGCATTTCGAGAGGGCCTCAGGGTGTAGGGATTTCAGGCGAAGGCTGGTATTGGGGAGACTTTCTAAACTGGGGAGAGTTTCTTTAGCAAGCCTAACAAACCTATGAAGGTTAAGCCATTAGTAAATTAATCCAGTTGGCAGAATTTCACATCACAAATATATCCAAATTGCTGATAAGCTTATAGGAGGTGTGTGATTTATTAGGCAGAATTAGATGTTGAAGTGTTGGAAATGTCATTATTCTTCAGATCAGTTTTATTGAAGAAATGAACATCGCTCGTTTTCTTATCAGTAGCAGTGACGAGTTGCGGTTAGACACTCCAGACTTGTAACTGGAAGGTTGAGGGCCTAACTTATTGCTACAAATGGGCAGGTTACGAAAAGGGTTAAAATCGGGAATTAATTGTTTTTAATCTCAGCACGCATCCCCTTTGCTTTGAAGCTGCCAGGTGTCACACACTTTATCTAAACTCTTAGAGAAACTTCCTTTTAACCTATATCTGTAACACTGTTGGTGTGCCACATTAATAATAACTGAAAGCAAAGTAATTTTCTGAGTGAAAAGAGCTCAGAAATTTTACAGGGTCTTAACACAACCCACTCAGTCCTCATCGATGAATTCTGCACAGGTCTAAATCATGTGACACCTGTCGGAATACACTTCCACCGGCTGTCTTGAGGTAAAAATCAGACTGGAATCGGCTTGGGAGAGTATCGCCTTTTGTCTTGGGGACTCGAGAAGGTTTCTGAGCCATCCCATCTTCAGCCTCTCCTTTGGGAACGTTCCCGTTTTGTGGCAGAACGTTTCTCTCTCTGGTTGCTTGCCCTAGTCGCAGTGCTATCTGGCATAAAGCACGGCTCCTGGATGTGTGTGGTTTGTCCTGCCTGCTCTGTCAGCAGGTGACGTCCGGTCCATCTGTTTCCACACATGCGTCCCGTTCCTGCAGCCAGTGGGGCTGTCTTCCCTGTATCCGAAATCGCCCCCCCCGCTTCCGATATTCATGGCACTGCCGGCTCCCGGCCTGCAGGAGCTGTGCTAGTTGTGTTTAGGCTGCTTAAAGACCAGGTTTTCTGGAGCAGTTGCATTTAATAGCATTTTGAGAAACCAATTTTTATTTTAATTTGGGCTTCAGCCTTCATGCGCCAGAAGTAAATAGCAAGGCATGGAATAAATACATGAAAAACAATTAAAACATTTCCTTTTTCGATTGGTTTAATTCTTTCATTTGTTGAAGCTTGTAGGATTATAGCTAGAGAAATCAAAATCTGAATCGGCTTCCTATTACCAAGTTCCAAGCGACACAGCTGCCAGTTTTTAGTCAGGAACTAATTGAAGAACGTACAGGTAAGTATTAATAGGATCCAGTTTTAAGAGCGATTTCAACTTAGGTCAGAACCACATCATGACAATATATCATATACAGTATGATGATATTTATCATGACAGTATGTCCTGAGTGGGGACATATTGCCATGACATGGTTGTGACATAAATTGAAATCGTTCTTAAAACTGGATCCTATTAATACTTACCTATACATTCTTAAATCAGTTTCTGACCTGTTGAAAAACTGAAAGACCTGTAGCCTACAGTGTCATATTAAGCCACCTTTCCCTATGAATATTTTGGGATATATTTTGCCACTAAGCAAAGGGCTAAAAAATGCTAGTGCCTCGAGTCCTTGCAGTGCTCTGGACCACACACCCAGTGAGAGAGTAGAAATAAATAATACCTTGATCTAAATGCTGCAAAATCACAATATATTTAACAGTGCTAAAGTAATATATTTTGTAAAGCATTTCCTTAAGACCAGTTCTGTCTCTGATTGTCTGATTCTCATTAGCATCAAAATATTTTTAAAAGAGTCTGGTGAGCGCAGTGTGTTCTGAGAATAGAGGTTCAGAGCTCAGAGCAGTGAGGGGAGCATTTCATAGCTCAGAGCAGGCGGGAGGGAGATTCGAAGGTGAAGGGTTCTGGAGAAGGGTGAAGCAAGTCATAACAGGAAACTGTTCTATATGTTGCACGGGGCGTTGTATATAACATGGCTTTTAATAAAGTGCCAGGTGTTAACAGCACACTTCTTATTAGGTGAATACTATGCACACGGTGTGCTTCCAATATCACAAAGTTTCTGTTTGATATCGGATTTCAAGTTCAGTTACACCACGCAACTCTATAAATTCCTCTTTTTATGATTTTGTGTATAATGCAGTTGTGTTAACTTTGTCTGTTGTATACTATAAATCTAATTTATTTTAAACAGACAGAGTGGAAAGCCTGTAAGTAGTGAACGCATTAAACACCAGAATTGGTTTGCTTTACAGCACTGTAAAACTGTCCAATAATGTACAAATTTTCATATACACAATACATTTTAATTACATTTTCCCCATATATTTCCATATATTTATTTTTACCCTCTGAATAAATTGGAATACCAGCCAATTTAGGGCAAACTGCCAAAACCAGGTATTCAGTAGAAGACAAGGGAAAATTAATTAGGGACATACTAAGATACTACAACCAGCTACTTAATTATTTAACTGATAATCATCAGGATCAGTATAGCAATTAAAGAGCTGGTTTGATCAAAATTATGAAATGGAGGAAGTGGTTTGGAAGGGACCTACGTTCAATAGCTCTAGGCTACAAGATGATAAAGCTGTTTCACAGGTACACACTCCCAAGGCAACGTCTGAGTGAATGGAAAACATGAAACCTTCATTTTTAATTTTTAATTACATATTATGAATCTTATTATATACAATGCAACACTTTTTGTTGTTTTGGCTCTGTGCTCCAGCACACTGAATTTGAAATGAAACAATGACTATGAGGTTAAAGTGCAGAATGTCAGCTTTAATTTGAGGGTATTTATGTCTATATTGGGTGAACCATACAGGTCCTCCCATGTCAGGGGACCAAACGTAATTGGACAATTGGCTGCTCAGCTGTTTCTTGGCCAGCTGTGTGTTTTGCATCATTAGTTCATGCACAAGAGAGCTAAAAAAAGACCGGCAAAAAAAGAGTTGTTTCTAGATGCGGCATTTGCATCTGGAGTCTGCTGCTGTTGTTGTCTCTAAACATGAGGACCAAAGAAGTGTCAATGCCAGTGAAGTAGGCCATCATGAGGCCAAAAAATCAGATTAAATCAATCAGAGACATAACCAAAACATTAGGTGTGTCAAAATCAACTGTCTGGTACATTGTAAAGAAGAAATAGCGCACTGGTGAGCTTAGCAATAGCAAACGGCCTGGTAGACCACAGAAGACCACAGAAGTGGATGACCGAAGAATAATTTCAATCATGAAGTTAAACCCCTTTTCGACTGTTGAACAGATCAGGAACACTCTCCAGGATGTAGACATAGATATGTCATGGACGACCATAAAGAGAAGAATACAACAGCGATAGTTCTGGGACAAAGCCTTACGGGCAGATGAGACAAAGATGAACCTGTACCAGAGTGATGGAAAGAGAAAAGTAGGGAGAAAAAATGGAGCTGCTCATGATCCAAAGCAGACCACCTCATCTGTGAAACATGGAGGTAGTGTCCTGGATTGGGCATGTGTGGCTGCCAGTGGACCTGGCTCACTTGTCTTTCTTGATGATGCGACTGCAGACGGCAGCAGCAGGATGAATTCTGAAATGTACAGAAGCATCTTATCTGCTCAGATCCCACCAAATGCTTCAAAACTCACTGGGCAGCGCTACACCTTGCAGCAGGACAATGACCCCAAACATACTGCTTAAGAAACTATGGAGTTTTTCAGGGCCAAAAAGTGGAATGTTTTTAACTGGCCAAGTCAATCACCCAACCTCAATCCCATTGAGCCTGCGTTTCACTTACTGAAGACAAGACTGAAAGCAAAAAAGCCCCCGAAACAAGCAGGAACTGAAAATGGCTGAACTAAAGGCCTGGCAGAGCATCACCAGGGAAGATACCCAACGTCTGGTGATGTCTATGGGTTGCAGACTTCGTCAACTGCAAAGGATTTGCAAACATGCCAACTTTTAAAGATTAAGTTAATGGGTCCAATTACTTTTGGTCCCTGAAATGGGAGGACTCTGTATAAAAAGGGCTGTGATTCCTGTATGGTTCACCCAATATAGACGTAAATACCCTCGAATTAAAGCTGACATTTTGCACTTTAACCTCATAGTCATTGATTTATTTCAAATCCAATGTGCTGGAGTACAGAGCCAAAACAGCAAAAATTGTGTCACTGTCCAAATACGTATGGACTGCAATGTATGTATTTGGCTGTTGTTTCTATCTCTTCAACTTACATCTGTACCCTTATACATAGCAGAGTGCTTCACTGCAACAATGCAGAGGAATTACCTTGTTTAAGATTTCAGCAGCAGTCTCTCTCCTGGGATTTGAACCCACAACCTTCCAGTTATGCATCCAGAATCCTGACCACCGCTCATTTGTGTTAGTTTAGAGTGCAGTGAAGTACTGTATACACTATGTTTATTAGAGCTTGACATAACGTTGATCGTGAGTTACAGCAGCTTCCACATGTGGTGGAAATCTTTGTACTTTTATTACAGGGCGTAAGGTAAGCTATGAGCTGTCAGGGCTGTGGTGACAATTTAATTTCTTTCATGAGCTGACCTCAAGTATGTGCAGGAGTTCAGCATAGACTGCACTCAACTTTGACATGCTTTATGTCTCCCCTTTCGGGACTTGTGATCAATACAGTCCTTGTGTTTCCTGTTGCTAAAGCTGAGCAAGATACAGCCAGCTATCCCGTGATTCCAGGGTTTTCCCATCAGCAGTAGACATTTTATATTTCATTACCAAACCAGCAATTAGTTACCATTATAGCACATTTTGTGACAATTTGAAATAAAGGACAAAACCACCACATTTTTCTTTCTGGCACCGGCCCTGAATTTAGGCAGACTGCCAAGATAAGATGTCTGTTTGAAGTTTATGAACACCAAGTCTTGTTGGTTATAATTCTCTCTGTTCGTGCTTCCAGCAGCGATGACTATAAAATAGCCTTGAAGTCAAGAGGCGCTTCTCCTTCTCTCCTGGAAGGTGCAGACTGCGAGAGCTCGCCGCAGTCAGGGCCTCATTTCTCTCTCAGGCCTGGGGCCCAGCTGAAGAACTGGCCTGCTGCTCCTTTCTGTAATAGAATCATTTACCTGATTTACACAAATTGGGATTAAAGTTCGTTTTTCGAATGATACAGAACTTCGCATAAATATTTTCCACATGCAGGTAAATGAACCCATATGCCTCTTCTTTCTCAAGTTCCCCCCCTGACAGCACTTGTTTTCCAGGAGAGTTTCACCGTTTCATCCACGTCGATTCGTGCGTTAACGCACTGAATAATTTAGGCTTTGTTTTCCCCCCCAAGCCCACTGTGGTACGCTGAGCCCGGAGACAGTTCTAATCCTCCCCTTCCCTCTTCCTGCTGCAGTTCTGTGCTGACGTCATGCAAGAGCTGGACGCGCTGCTCCCGTTAGCCTTGGCGTGCCGGGAGGGCTTCCAGCTGGAGATCAGGGCGGCCTTCGTGGACGCCTGCAGCAAGGCGGCGGCAGCGCTCCTGGCGCGGCTGGGGGAGAGGAGCAGAGAGGTGCCCCGGACGGCGCCCACGCGGAACCTCCACACCTCGCTCTCCACGGCCGTTTACGTCCTGCAGCGCCTGGCGCAGTACGAGACCCTTCTGAAGGACAGCGCCCGCCAGTGAGTCCAGAGCTGCCGTGACGACGCCGGCCAGCGTACGGGGAACGGGCTGGTACACAAGGCCTTCCGGTCCGCAGCAGCCGTTCCCCGGGCGCTCCCAGACACGCTCTTGAGAGGGATTAGAAACAGTCCAGCGAGAAATGTTGAGGGGCGTGTCACCCTTTTGGTAGCTGAGCAAAGGCGGTGTTCTCTCAACACCGTGGCCTTTTCCCATCTGCCTGGACGTGGGTCTGGTCCAGTGAGGACCACAGGGCCACAGTCCCTCAACGGGACAAAACACATTGCGGAATGACCTTAGGTCCGACACTATCCGTTGTCAGGGCCTACATGCTTCAGAAATACTGTCCATTTCCAGAAGTGGTCTTGTCACCTTCACTGCGGGCCAGATTCAGTCCTCTGTGATGAAAACAGTTATTGTGAGCGGTGGCAGGGCACTGCAGTCTCTTGGTATCGGCTCTCCTTTTCCTTCAGACCGACCTGCGTTATTGAGCATTTCCACCATTTTCAGGCATCACTTAAGTTGTTGTGCTGAGAAACAAAAAAAGAGTCTTATTTACAGAACAAAGATCTCAGTTACACACTGGGGGGAAAAAAGAGCTGTGATTTATGATGCAAACCAAAAAATAGTGGAATTGAAGCGCTGTTTTTTTTTAAGCTATTAATTTACAATTTCTAGATTTTGACTCCATGGGCCATGAACAGCCGACAGGACTTTTATACTTGTCAGAGTGAGGTACACCAGCTGTCGGAATAATTCTGTCAATAGTGACTTTTTGTCTATTTTTCCACTCCCTAACAATTTGGTCAGAGTTCAGATGTATGTAGAAGAAAACAAGTGTAGCTTTACATTGCGTGAATCATGCCATTAAAAAAAAGATTAAGCACCGCTCTTTTAATTCTTCAAGAACTGTCTGAACTTACTTTTCCCACATGCTTCCCGTGTTGAAAGGGCGCTGTGGGACAGTGTAGATATATTTCAACTTAGAAGCAATTGGAAAAAAAATATCCACTCTGCTCTGCAAGTAGTTTTGACATCTGTGTTGAAGTAAATTAGTCAATGAAAAAGAAACAATTTGTAACTTTCTGTGATGTGCATTCCTGACCCCCTGCAGACGCTCTTTTACTGTCTCACAGCAGTAAGAGCTTTTGGCATCTGCTTCACAAAACCCTCCTGCCTTATTTAGTTTCTCCCCTCCATCCACAGTGTTTGCCTTCCCTTGCCACTCGCTAGGTTTAGGAACTGACAGCTTCGTTCACTTTCAGCCTCTCTTCTGACTCTTCTGAAATTCAACATTTCGTTTTGTTTTTAAACTCAGAGGAGCTGCACAAGTCCAGAGCCCCGGGTCCGATTTCAGCCTGGGGCCTCTGTCTGTGCAGAGTTTGCTTATTCAGCCTGTGTTTGCCAGGTGCTCTAATGTCTCCTACCTTTCTAAGACATGTTGCGCAGATTTGATTATCTTCTCTAAAACTGATAGTGTGGCCCTGCAGTGGTCATGTTTCTTATCCAGAGGCAGATGAGCCTAGGGCTTTTAGTCCTGTCTTGTGCCCTGTTCTCTTAGGACAGACTCTGGCCTCACGGGGACGTTCATGTCTTCCTGATGATGGATGTGTGGAAATGGATAAGCAGGGATCCTACCACAAATGGGAAAAAAAAAAATTAAGATCTGAATCAAGACATTTGGGAGGGGCGTCTTTGAGAAATGCCTCTTAAGTTTTATATTTGACATCCATATGCGTCAGGCCAGAGAAATAGTCAGTGCGTTGCCAAAAAGACTAAAATCCAATAATTGGGTTGTAAAGAATATTAATATCAGTATAAGTGATGTCTTGACAGTGCAATTCATCTGGAGCAAGAACATGTTTGTTGGAAAACAGATGTGAGCTTTCAAGAAGCCAAAGGGCAGGGGAGCTGAGTTTTTTTAAGAGAACATGATTCCTAACACAAGCAAACAGAGGAAATAAATGATTGATCCCTAATAATCAGAACCATGTGCTGGGCTGGGGATGGCCACCTCCTACCAGCCGGGCCTCAGATTTCTCTGCCTTTGATCTGCCACACAGGCCTGTCTTCCTGCTCACCCTACAGCAGTACCGGGAGCTGGTCGGCGCGCTGCAGGTCCAGCTCACCGGCCACTGCGTCAGGACATGTGCCACCAGCATCTTGCAGGACGCCGAGAGCCACTTCTGGTGCGACCCCAAGCCCTTCTATGAGGTGCGACGAGGTTAATCTTGCTCTCCCTCCTGCTGTCCTTTCTTTCTGTTTCTGTTTGTCCACGTGGCACGTGACCAGAAACGGGATCCAGGCGTGTTCCCAGGAGATCCATCTGGAAGACCCCCCCTACCCCACACAACCAGCAAGGAACTGTTAGTTTGACAGATAGTTCAGAGAGAGTGTTGAGAGCACATCACAGGCAGGCCTGGCTGCTCGCCTGTGTCTGTCTCCTTGCAGTTTCAGGTCAGAAGATGTCCAGATCTCATTGCATGTCAGGTGGCTGCTCATTGCTTCTGTTTTTTGTTCGGGGCAAAAAAAAAGATTTAGAGTTTTTGCCTAATTGTGCCCCACAATTAAGCCTATTTGGATGTAGTTTGGGGTGTTTATAGTTATTTATGGGTAATTTTGTTCAATGCACCGAAACCGGATCTCAAAATGCTGCAAAATGCCCGGGTTGCACTGGGAAACCGAGCAAACAAGGGGTAAAACTCTGAAATGCTTAAAATTCCTGTTCTTTTGGCTGATTTGGAATTTGAGCATTTGCTTATTCAAAATGTAAACATTTAAACAAAATGTACAATAAATTGAGATGGTGCAGGAATAATTCAGTGCTCAATAATTACAGCATTACATCCTATGGTACTTTCGGTACTTTTTGAATTTAGTGTTGAAAGGTCTTGGAAAACCCCATCACGTGGCTATCGGTAGTGATTCATCCAGTATTCTTCAGTTATATAGGGCTTACACCTAGTCACAATAATTTAGTGTTGCGAGATTCAGCCGGATATAGGTCTCACGGCTTCACCATCCGAGCACAGGTTTGAAGCTTTTTCATGACACTGTCTGACAGTGACTATGACACTTAGCTGAGTTATAGTGGTACCCTGTCACCATAATGTAGTGGTACAGCATTCAGCCCATTATACTGTAGGTTTACAGATTTGCACCACAGAAGTCTGGCGTAATTATTCCTTTTTTTAGCCACTCTTTCATACTTTCTCAGTGGGAATTATTAGAGGGAGGTTTGTTTCCTTTCATGAACACCATCACACCTTCCTTTATTTATCATTGTAGGTGGTAAGAGAAGCTGCTGTAAGTGAAATAATGAGACCCCGCTCTGGAGAGTAAACACGGTGCATGCCCACTGCATTAGCAAACGATAACACTGTAAAATGCTGGCGCGGAAGGAGCTGGAAGAGGTTACATTTGTATTACCAGTGAAATGATTTTATTATATTTTTATTGGATCGTATTGGTCTGTGTAAAGCTTTGTAATTGAGATCTGTCCAGAGAAATCATCTTGCATGTAATAAAAAACAGCTGCTTGTCTTGCAAGGTTTTTTTTTTAAGGCTTTGGTGTGTGGCAACAGATGTGTGGCTCTGGAGAGCTGAAAGAATGGCAGGGTTAGTGTAGTGAAACGGGGTTGTGGGGGAATGAATCTTATTTAATCGTCCTCATGTTTAGTCCTGAAACAGAAATTTGAAGTGAAAAAAGATCTGATTGCCTTGTGTCTGACTGACTGACTCAGCTCATCTCCATTTGTCAGAATACTGCTGTTCCACGTAGTGAAGAACGTTTGCGCTCTTTCATCCACCCTCCATTTTCTACCCACTTCATCCGAGTTGGGGTCACAGGGGCACCGGAGCCTGTCCCAGCAAGCAATGGGCACAGGGCAGGATACCCCCGGACAAGGGGCACGCACCCCAAAAGCTAATGAACCTGTCAGTATATTTTAGGACTGTGGGAGCAAACTGGATAACTTGGAAGAAACCCCCACGAACACGGGGAAAGCATTCCCACAGAGCTAGCACCCCAGTAGTTGAACCCAGGGCCCCAATGCAGCAGGGTGCCTTTCATGCCAGGCCTAATTTAAGCTTAATCTTGATGTGTATTGCACCTGTTGTGTTATAGTGTGGGGTTTTGGATGCAGCACATTTATAATGAAATGTGTCTTGACATTTTAGAAACTGTCTAGCTTAATGTTGATTCCTTCTGCCTTGGTTGTATGTCAGTAAAATATTGGACTTTCAAGATTGTTACCTTCAGTGTGTGTATAAATATGTTCTCTAGTCTAGTGACAGAACCAATTCACCAGCCCTCTGTCTGCAAGGACTCTAGACCTAACTGCACAGGAGTCAGAGACTGCTGCTTGCCTAGAAAAGGCCAGCCTGCCGAGAGTAGGCATAGTGCTTTTGTTTTCCTTCTTCATTATACTTTATCATACAGTGATGTGTCATTCTTCGCTTGCTGCTGGTGTGCTCTTACCACCCACATGTCAGTCACGTTGGGAGATGTTGGATTAGCAGCTAGGGGTATCTAACACAAGATGCTTTCCCATGCTTCAGAATGGCATTCTCTAATGAATGGCTGTGGGTTTTCTGTGTGGGACACAAATGAAATATGTCCTTAGATTGTGGTGAGACGTTGTACATCTTGTTAATAATCATATTTTGATCACACCACAAATGTTTAGACATCTAATACCATTTCCTCATAGCCTGAACTTAATTAGATTTATAGGAAACAGACTTACTTCTCATCTTCCTTATTTTATTTTCCTTTGAGGATCAACCATGACTTCAGTTTCCAAACTCAAACTGTGTAGGAACAAGAATTCCCCTTGCTGTCTTTTCCATTCTCTTGTAGCGTGCGCGATTAGAGGACTGACCTAGTGGCCCGTGTTGTGCGGAGATGTAAAGTGTCACACCCGGTGCTTTTGGCAGGGTGAGAGGTGTTCCTTTTCCATCCAGATGTGGCACTATTTCCTGTCGGCTCTGCGCTGGGACCTCTGGAATGTGCTGCCTCCCAGTCTGGCCCAGGACGTCCTGGCTCAGGTTCTGACCCAGACCCTGGAGATCCTAGTGCAGAGGTATTCCCAGGCCTGCCCGACCTACAGCAGGACCCTACAGATCAGGTAGCACGGCCTCCTGAATTATTACTTGAAAGAATATTTTTTTCTTTATGCGGGAGTATGTTTTTCATGCTTGCTTTCATTCCCAGCACTTGCTCCAGGCCTGCACACGGAGCAGGCCGCTGACGGATTTATAACTGTGTTTCCCCCAAGTCGGGGGCCCACACCTCCAGATTCTGTCTGCTTGAAATTGCATTAGCTTATACAATGTGTAAATTTAGTGTGGTCAGTTAGAAAAATGGGAGGACATAGCGTTGCTCGGCACCAACACAGGGGGTAGCATGTCCAGTTAATAATACCACTGGAGACTCTCTTTGTTCGCTGAACGTGATTTACTGAACAATATCTCTTTATTATCCCTGCCTGCACTCCGTCATTCTTGGCTGTGCTTTGCGGGGCCGCACTAAGTTTTTTATGTTGTTTTTTTTTTTTCCGAACACAATGCATTAACACACACTTAGAGCGTTTAAGTATGTCACAGGCATGCTTTCCATCCTCGCTGACAGCTGAAGAAGGGCAGACCCTGCGCTCAGAGCTCTGCGCTCCGCGGCGCGAGGCAGTACGCGGTTGCCATTTTAAAGAGGCGTGCAGTTTAAAGAGGAAACACTGCTGGCTTCTGCGGGGCCGCCGTGCCTTCGGAGTCTGCCAAGCAGATGGAAGAATAGACCTTTGCCTCCGCTTTTATCTTCAGCGGGCAGTTTTCCATTCTTCCTGCCTTCATGCCACATATTATGCCCATTACCCAAATACTTCTCGAAGTGAATCACTTTACACCAACAATTATATTATTAAATTTTGGAACAAAAGTGTCACTCGAGTACGTGTGTTTGCAGATGAGCCCTCCTGTGCAGATTTCTGCTCATTCCTTGCCTCTCTCCTTCCCCGCCAGGGCCGACATCACTGCGGTGCTGCTGTGCGCCGAGAGCCTGCTGTGGGGGCTGTGCAGCAGCCCCGGGAAGCTGCTGTGGCCGGACCGAGACCCCTGCCCCCGGCTCTTCTCCATCCACAGCCTCTGCAACCAGCTGCTGGCCGTGCTGGCCGTCGTCACCTCGCCGCTCCGGGCCCTGTTTGAGTACGAGCCGCTCGCCTTTCTTCCCAGACTGCAGCGGGCAGGGGCAGCCGCCGGTCCCACCGACTGCGTTTCCTTTCATCTCATCCTCGGGGCAAACCGGTGTAGGAAGACGCACGCGTTGATGCAGCGCAAAAGCTTGTTACACAGGCGTGAGCTGTTTAAAAAAACACGCGAGACTCGGGCTCTTCAGACCTGAACTGAATCGAACTCCCAAATCCAGGAGTATGCGTAACGTGCACAGTAAACCTGAAAAGATACGCACCTTCAAAGGGGAATAGGGTTTTGCCACGCCGTTTTCCCCGAAATCCCAGTCTTGGTAGGGAGCTCATCTCCATACGATGTCTTTCCCCCATCGACTGAGCACAGCCGAGCAGACGTGTGCTGGCTGTCTGATTCTGTTTGTCAACATATAAACTGCAGTGCAGGAAAGGACGCACAGCAGTGGCTGGTCCTAGTGTTGAGCTCTTTTTAACTAGCTTGCAATCGCTATAATGTGGTTAGATTGAGAAAAAAGAATCTTTTTTGTTAGCAGTAAATGATTCTGATTTTAGACGGTAGGAAAGATAGAAGTACTCTTGAGCAGACACTACTGCAAATACCCACAAGATTACTCATCTAAAATTAGACCTTTAGCTCAGCTTGATAGGGAAGTCTGCAGGTAAGCCTGTTACAATAATGAAAATGAGCTTGACACATTTAACAACAACATAATGGGATAACTAGTGTTAATTGCTGTAATTGAATTTCTCTTCAAATTTAAATGTCAGGCTTTGTCTTAGCGCAGGACTCCAAAGTTTGCATTTTCTGTGAAACAGTGTTACAGCAAAGCCCTCAGAAGAGCTCACTCGGTTTGCTTGTGGAGTGTCTGTTTCCCGTGTGCGGCTGGAGTCGGAAACAATAGTTACTGACTACCTGAAATTATTGCAAAAAAAAAAGCATCTTTACCCTGTACCCATCTTTACCCTGAAAAAATACCATGCAAGTACCCATCTTGGCTGTGTGTCAGATTGTAGCCGTTCATTATTTTCAAATCTATTTGCCCTGCTCCATCCAGAACACCGTATTTTCTCCCGTTGCTTGCTAAGGCGTGTTAATTGAGGTGAAGAGCGACACCCTGGACACCCTCTTTTGCGGTGAGGCGTTGGCCGGAGCAGTGTTCCTCAAGGGGAGCAGTGAGCGGACTGTGTTCCTCAAGGGGACGGCCGCAGCGCCGCCCTTACCACCTCAGAGCCCGCTTCTCCACACAGCGACCTCTCAGCCTCGGGAGTGGTCTGTCAGCGAGTCTTCCTGCTGTCGTTTCTCTGCTCCAGGACGTTTCGCAGAGGCCCTGAGGACCTGTCGTCGCTGTCCGCCGCCGGACCCTCCGGCTGCCCTCCCCTGCAGTGGCTGCGCTTCGTCAAGCCTTCGCTCTTCTCGCGGCAGGAGTGAGCTCTCTCCCGCCTTCCTCCGGGGGGGGAAAGCCTTTTGCGTGAATGTGTGGCGCTGGTTGTGGGAAACGAGAGCTGAGTGCCTGGGCTTGCGTATGGTGAGATGGTTTTGCTTCACAGGATATCAGAGCAGAGCCTCAGACCCGGGGAATTAACCAGGAACACATGCGGTAATTGTGCACGACTTCCAATGTCATGAGCCATCCAGATGGATTAGATTTATTTTGACTTTTGCTGTGGCTTTTATTGGGAGTGGAATTACAGCTTTGACAAGGAGATGAAGATAACCATTAGAGACCCGACTGCAGAAAGTCACACGTTTGTTTGCTGAAACAAACACAGACCCAGAGAGTGACAAGTATTCCAGTCTGTCGGAAAGCGCACACAGTCATCTTCATCTGGATAATATAATTGAAATTGCTAATCCTCACAAACGGTAGCCTGCTTCCATTGATAGTCCACAAATTCCAGGATGGTCATGCTACAGTATGTCCTAGCACCTCACTGTAGACCAGCAGATCACACTGTGAAAGAGCCAGAGATGTTGGATCCTGATGACCCTATTGTAGAATAGTATATAAAAATAGTGACAGTTACTTTAAAAAGTGTGTTTTCTTACTCATATAAAATGATAGACATGAAAAGAGCTTGTAACCTCTTTTTTTTCAATACAGAGAACTGGTCCCTTACTATAACACTTTGATATATAGAAGCTGTTAAAAGGAATATCTCCTGGATTTGCAGCTATGTGACATCATAAATTGCTCTGTCAAATTAAACATAATGTTCCTCTTTTGAACAGCAGGGTGCATAGAGCAGTTGTTTTGCTGGGTAGCTCGTAACCCTGGGGCTACATTTCTTACTTTTTTTTCCAAATTCCAACTGATCTTTGAGGAGTGAAAGGGCCAAAATTTCTTCATTGAAGAAAGAAAATGTTGTTGTAACCTCGTAGAACAAAAATGAACATGGTTCTACAGAAGAGATAAGTGAGGTTATGCTGTATCTCTTATGCATTTGGCAGCTTACCAAACATTAATTTGCTTTTAGCTAGTCAAGATTAAACATAATTCCTTCCCTGAGCAGACTTTAAGTAAGCAAGCATGAAGGCATTTGCAGACTAATCTGGGAGGAATTGACATTTAAGGAAGTTAGCATTACATTTACAGTTTAAGGCTATTAATTTCATAGATAAATTAACTCCCATCTTTGTCTTTATCTTACTTTTTTTTTTGTTGAAGGATATTGGCTGCAGATGAAATATCTTCCCAGCTTCAGCTGAAATTGATGTTATCGCAGCCGAGTTGTAATCCGAGGTTACTGCTACAGACTCTACTTCAGAGTGACTGTCTGCTGCTGCGAGTGTTGCTCAACACATGTAAGGGTTTTTATTATTATACTGAACACCAGGTACTCGGCAGTATATGATAAACGAATTTACATGTTCATTTTTAGAGTTGATTTAGCATCATTGCATTTCATAAGGTTGATCTCCTGATTTTATTCTGTGAGCTCCTGTTGGGTTCATTTCTGATTCAGGTAAATAATTTGGGTGTGCGCTGCTCACTAACTTTTTAGTTTTTTTCTGTTGTTCGTTTTTGGAATTTTCTGAACTGAGCTGCCTCCCCCTCTCCACAAACCCAGGTTCTGAGTTGCTCCCAGCATGGAGTGAGAGATGCACTCGCTTTGGTGAAAGAGCAGAAGAACAGAATTGCACCGGCAGGCAGACATAAAGTGTCATCCCTGAGTCGAGGTCATTGACACTGGTCTTTCGATACAGTTTTTAACAGGAAAGATTCGAACCCCTCCTGTACTGGCCGGGAGCCCGCGACGCAGTGGGAATGGCTCACTGCTGGGGAATGTGCACGCTGTGGCTGTGTCCTCCCTGCACAGAGGTCTCCCACCAGTGCTCCTGGCAGTACTGGGCCTCCGGGAAGCTGTGCATCCTGAGCCGGCCGAACCGAGCGCTGCTACAGTACATCACTCCACACACCTGGTCTTTTATTGGACAAGCTGCCTTCCTAAAGGGAAGAAGAAAGGTTTCTGATGGAAAGAGGCCATCCTGCCCATCTTGCTGGCTCGGTCCTGAAGTAACTCATAGAGAATTCCTGAGAATCATCGAATTTGGACGTTTCGTAAAGCATCCACAGCACTTTTGTCGCTCTGGCTGTTGGTTGATTCCTTCACTCAAGGGTACAGAAGAAGCAGAACATTATGGGCCAACGAAGTTCAAGTAGGGAGCTGCGTCAGCATGCGTAGGCTGCAAAGGAACGGGTAACGGGTTTATTCCAGGCTGAAAAGAAAAGACAGGAAACAACGTTTCAGCTGTGGAGCCTTCTTCGGGTGTCACTTGAAGAAGGCTCCACAGCCGAAACGTTGAGTTTCCTTTCTTTTCTGTTGGTTTATGCAATAAACCCTTTACCTGTTCATTACGGGCCAACTGCAGCTCCACACGCTACATGTTTCTGGCCAGATCCTGCTGAAGCTGCTGGCCCATGTGGCTTGTCTCGTCCTGAATCCAGGGGTTCTGACTAGATGACCATGTCTCAGTTACAGAGCGGCTCTCTCCATGAGAGACTTGTCTCGAGTTGAAGATGTTTTTCCTGCTTGAGCTTGTTTGTTTAACCAGTAGGCCACGCACCTTTCCACACACTTTAATTCATCTTTGTTTAAACATGTCATTGCGACAGTCCCTCGTCAGAGCATATGACATCTGCACTAATAAACCAAATGGGGACATCACCTGCAAAACCAAATTGAAATGCATGTTAACTGTAATATTTATTAACCTGTTATATTCAATAATTCACAGCAGAGTGGAATAGAAGTAGACAGTTTTTAAGGATGTACCATTTTTACCTCTGTTTCATGATTCATAATTGACACGGTAAAGCTGATTGGATTAAGCAGTAATATAATAAAGATCAGGTCGCAGTTTTTAGTCTAAACCATGTGGTAAACTGTGTGAGTCAGCATCATTCATTTCGAAAAGGTAGTTGTCGGCTCATTAAGGTGGGGATTCAAGCCAGTCCATTGTAAATGCTGTGATTTACCTGGTGGATTTGTTTAGATAACGTTAAAAACTCGAATTTGGCAGATCCCATGTGTGTGATTATTGAACTTCAGTGAAGCAGATGAATATGAAAGAATTCTCAGAGTCTGCAGTCTCCTCGCACGTTCTGTAATCTTCCCCAGTTAAGGGTCTTCTTCGCTTCAGAGTGAGTGACTTGACTAAGCGCCGACTCTTCCTCAGTGTAAAACCCAGATAAATTGGTGTTCTTCAGGGAGCGATCAAGGTCAGCGGGCCTTCTGAGTGCCTGTGAAGTTCGGCTTGAGAACACTGTCGAAGGGGACTGCAGTTCATTCATCATAACTGGTCTGCAGTTATATAGTGGGATCATTATTAAAAACCATGTAGTTAACCTCTGGCGCTCTTCAGCACCCCAAGTGGAAATTAATGTAAGTCCCAGAACTGCCTGTTGACGTTCAGGTTTAAATCTCCATATCTCCTCAAGGAGTAATTACTGAGCTGACAGGCTACAAGGCGCTGGCGTTATCCCTGTAATGCAACATAATAGAGTGATTGTAGGTCAAAGGATGTTTGACCACTTTCTGTTGTGAAAAAATCAATTTCCATCGTTCCTTCAGTACCAGGATTTCCCATTAGTTATCAAATGGGCAATATTAGGTCCTCATCCTTTAATGCGAGAGGTAATTTAGGGCTGTCATTTTAAAACAGTCTAGCATTTGTCAAGGAAGTGCAAACACGGCCTCACCTTCCATCGCGCTCCTCATTGAGTCCCGCGCTGCGCTCACGTTCCCGAGTCCAACACCTGTCATCCCGAACGAGGGCTGACGGATGTCTGAGGGCCGCCTCGCGCGCTGCGGCCCGTGCTGTCCTCCCCAGCGTGGCCCCTCCCACTCGCCGCGGCCCTCACGGCCAGCCTGTTGTGGTGGAATACCCACCTGGGTCCTGAGGCTCCCGCCAGAGGTGCCCGTTCTCAAGGGCAAGTGAAATAGCCCTGGGCTGGTACTTCCTACGGCTTCTGGGAAATATTTTATTTTGTTGCCTTTTAATGATGTTTTAAAATCCCTGCTACCCTGGACTGGAAGAAGAGGTTAGAAGGCGGGGGGATGACTGGAAGGTTTATTAACAGTTTAGTCGTTTTGTGGGGTTTTGCTGTACAAGAGGACTGAAATCAAAAAGTGAAATCACAAGTGCAATCTTGTGCGCTGCATCCGCAACTTTTTGGAATAGCCGTTATCCAGTTGATACCTGTTAATTCACGTCTGGATTAATCTAGTAGGCTTTGGGCAGACTTTGAGAGTTTGCAGAAAATACAGCTCCTGAACCTGTTGGCATGTAATGGTCTCATTTTGTTTTGTTCCGTGAGTATGTATAGGCTTATAACATCAGTGTTGTGCAAAACATGAGCATTAGAGGCTTTGTGCAACCAATCTCTTCTTCACCTGAGCCTTAACCCAGCTGTACTGGGGTCAGGCTCGTAGCAGAGGTTCTCTGGGCAGGGGAAATTAATGAGGAAGGGACCCCAGCTCCCGAAGGAGTGGGCTGTTTCGCACAGGCAATCTACCAATCAGTGTGCCTCTGGGAGGAGACTAGTGTGCTGGGGACGCCCCATGTGATCCAGTAGAGAGCATGTAGACTCCTCACAGATGGATACCCACCCTGGATGTGAAACCAGCACTCTTGAGCAGTGAGGCAGTAGCTCTAACTCAAATGCCATCATGCTGTCTGCTTTGCATGATTAATGTAGTCAAAGCTCGATTGAAAACCCAACACAAATTCCTGTGATGCACGCGGGATGTCTGACATTGCCATCTGAACTGCTTTGTTCTTTATGGATCACTCGCTCCTTAACTTATTCCCTAAGGAAGTGTACATTATCACGTCATATTAACTTAGTCAAACATCTCATCCATTACCTCAGTCCAATTGCTATGGTTAGAGATGGCTAGGAAAAAAATAGTACAAATAATGAGATAAAGCTTTAAAAACAGGCTTTGTGTGTATCCGTAGGGTTTCTATTTATGCATTTCATATGAAAGTCATAACCAGATTACACTTCTTTACATCTGTCCTGCTGAATGACAAATAATGGCAGCATATATATTATTTTTTATAATCCCCTTCACTTGCATTTTATTGAAATTATTTCCATTCTGATGTTCTGAGAACTCCTTTTTTATTTAGATGAGTGTTATACAGATACCGTCTTTAATGGCAGAATATCGCTTTATTGCTTTTTATAGATGGAAAACACATTGCTTTGAAACTGAGATTTTATTGCTTACTTGTATACACCCTTAACAGCATATTCAGCTCATGGTATATAAATCAAAAATCCCACTGTAAAAAGGAATTATATCTTTTTGAAATGTAAATATGGATGCCTGCATATCTTATTATTTAGTTGGTGTGTCCTTGTATTGTTTTAAATGTGAGAGAAATGGTATATATTGCAGTGTGATTACAGTGTTGATGACTTTGTTTCATACGTGTATACAGTACGTTTAGATGCTTGAGCCCGGTGTGAACTATGATACTTGAATCTGGTCTTCACTGATCTTTGAGTCTGGTTTGAACTGCGATTTTTGAAAGCTGGTTTAAACATTGATTCTTAGAATCTCATTCAAGCTTCGATTCTTAGGTTTCCTTTGAACCATGGTTTTGGAGTCCGGTTGAGACTGTGGTTCTTGAACCCGTTGCGAATTTCGGTTCTTGAATCTCTTTTGAACAGTGATTTTTGAGGGTGGTTCCAACTGTGCTTCTTGAATCTGGTGTGAACTGTCCTTATTGAGCCTGGTATGAGCTGTGATTCTCAAAAGTAGCATGAACTCAAGCTGAGCAAACGACAAAGCAGAAGTGTTATGGGTACTGGAAACAATTATATCAGATCTTCAGGGATTGTTGATGTTGTACTAATCACAGTATATTAACGTGTGCTTCACCTTTTCTCAGATTTCAGCAGCCGGGGTGATGATCTGGATTCGACAGACTGCCTGAATGATGCGGAAATGTTCCTGGAGGCGGTGTTCATGGTGCTCAGCAGTCTAAATGACGTGCCTAGGTCTCTCGCTACAGTGCTAGAGAGCTATTTTGATAAAATGCACCTGTGGGAGCGTTTGCATAACTTATCAGGTAAAACAGCGCTGCTCTGTTTGATTAAACTTAGTGTCCACCAGTCTTGTTGTTATCGCCGTCGTTAAAATGCTTTCCACCAGGTATCAGAGAGGTCCCCACTGTGCTAGCCACCAGACATGACCAGTGTCTCTTGATTGGTTCTGCTCTTTGTCCCAGCAGGTTACATGCAGCTTTTCAATTCAATCAATTTTATTCTTACAGTGTGTGGTGCCTTTCAACCAGAGAGGCACTTTACTTAAATTATACATATAATAAAGTAAAGAAAACAGACAATACCATGAGGGACTGCGACCAGAGGCGTGGCCATCACCTCAGTTTTGTTCTTCTGACTACAGGGTGATTGACAGCCTGTGTCTCGGTGCCATAAATCGACTCAAAGCACAGAAAGTCCCAGGTGGCTGACAGCCAACTTGGGTTTTAAGAGTCAGCAGGCTCATTACGAGGAGCAAAAGTTAGATAACAGATCTTGGTAACCGAAAGTCAGACCTTGACAGATCCTTGTTCTGTAAACCAAGAACATAAGCGTAGAAGCCGAGAGGAGGCCATTCAGCCCTTCCAGCCCGAGTGGTAGTTGGTAGTTAATTGATCACAGGAGCTCATCCAGCTGTTCCTTGAAAGGAACCCGTTGATGAGGTTCAGCACCATGGCTGAGTAGCTGTTCCACAGTCCCACCACCCTTTGGTTCAAGAAGGGCCTCCTGTTGTTGGGTTTAAATGCTCTTCCATGAACTTCCCAACCGAGGTCCTCTGTTCTGTGGTTCTAAAGAAGGCCTCTCGACACGGTCAGTGCCTCTGAGGATAATAAATACTTTTATCAGGTGCCTTACTAGTCTAAGACAGGACATTTCCGTTATAATAGTCCTTTCGATTTCTCACTTTGACTTTCTAATAGCCTTTTTTATTTTTACTTGCAGTTCATTGTACTGCTTTTCTGTAACTGGATCCTGTTGTTTTTTAATCATGTTTTAAAGTGCTTTCTTTTCATGTTTATTTTTTCTAATTGAGTTGTTGAACCATTCGGGTTTCAGTTCTATAGCTTTTAATTTGCTATTTTTTTACGATAAATCCATGCTATGCTTTTAGGAGAATCTGTTTAACTGTTGACATTCATGTCCCACTGATCCTACAGTACATCTGTCCTGTCCTATTTTACCTTTCTCAATTCTTCAAAGTCTACTTCTGGAAATTTAAACTTTTGCTTTGGACTGAACTGTACCATTCCTGTTGCTTTTTCAACTGCTGGTATTCCTATTCTTGATCTTTCCAAATTTGTGTGGGGAAAGTTTAAGTCTCCCATAAAAACAACTTCTTCTGTTTCACATAAATTCTTATTTTCATGACAGTCAACATTTGAATGTGGTGGCCTATAGCATACTTTTAACACTGTAGCTTTGCATTGGTTTTTAATGAATCGGACTTCATAGATTCAGAGGCTTTTGATTAATTTCCTGAACATGAAAACTCTTTCTGATGTAAAGCACAGTCGCTTCACCTCTGTCTTTCTGTGTCCCATAATGGCTCACACCCGAAGAAGGCTCCACGGCCGAAATGTTGTGTTTCTTTTCTTCTCTTTTCTTGTTCCTTTGCTGGTTTCTGTGATTCTAGCAACATTATATTTGCCTGCTAATATAGTAGCTTTTCTCTCGTCTGCCGTGTTTCTTATACTCTCGGGATTTAGGGATCTGCTCTTAATTACTTGACCGATTGTTTAGTTCTCTCTTTCCCTGTGGTTTTCCCTTTCCTATTTAACTTCCTTTTTTGTTCTGTCCCACCACTCTAGTTTAAATATTTCTGGATTTATTTGTGGGTTCTCATGCCAAGACAAATTCACAAAAGCTGCAGGCCTCCCCAGCTGACACATTGCTGAACACAGTTGACAAAATAAGGGATTCATATTTTCCCATACAGCATAATGCCACCCCAGAGTGGACATGTATAAACAATCATATTGAGCAGAAACACAAATTTCAAATATATTTAAACATATATCAGTTAAAACATACAGTTGCTTTTAGAGATGACTCTTTAGTTGGGTTATATTCATTTTATATTTCGTCTATAGTATTTTTATAGATAC